CCTTTTCTTTGCCAATTTCTTGACATGTTTCTTCAGCCAAGAAGCATCACCAGTCGTCTCATCCTTTGGGTTAGACCGTTTGCTCGGCGGGGTTGGTGTAGCAACTGCAGTTTTCTTCAGGGAAGGAGCAAGTTCTTTTTTGGTCACGGCCGTTGCCACCACGTCGACCCATTTTATGGTACGGCCACCTAGAAACACTGAGCTCAAGTCAAAATGAAGTTTGAACAAAATAGATAAACAAGGAAAGTAAAAAGTATATACCTTGGGCCATTTCTTTCGACTTTGGAGTGTAAGTCTTTTTGGGGCGGTCGCCGAAAAGCTTTTGTGAAACTTCCTTGGCCAAAGTTCTAAAGAAGTCCTTAGTATAGGTATCCCACCAATCAGCGAAGATACTGGCATATCGGGATTCTGGGGTTTTTGGCCAAAGATAAAATTTAGGGCATCGATTCCTTCTCGGCCACCTCACATTCATTCTCTGAGGAACCGAAGAAGCGTTCTCGGCTCAAAATGGAGAAAGAAATAAGGAATGGCATAGGGCATCCCTGAAGATAGCCCAATTGATGAGCCAGGAAGTTGGGATGATAGACTTCCCAGCCTCCTCATCGAGCCTCACAACCATAGGGCAGGTCACGAGTGATGATGAATGAACCCCAGGAATTTTTCAGATCAGTCTCCAAGGCCTCTTCCCATGCTGATTGGGGAAGAATGATAGAAGAGGTGTATGTCTGACGACAGCAAATTTGGAATTGGTCGTCTGACAGGTCTTTTAGGCCGAATAAGTATTTGAAGATCTCTTATGCCAAGTAGGAAGAAATGGGTCGTGAGGCCAGCTCAAGATCTATTGTTTTGGAAGAGTTGAAGCTTGGGAGCTCTGGCCACAGTGTCAAGAAATAGACTTGCAACCAGAGCTAAAAAACCCAGAACCGGCAGTTTTTGTAAAGGTCGATTATTCCCACTGTAGTTTCGGCCAAGCACTTGGTAAGGTTGGCAAGAACGGCCGACTAAAAGCCAGGATGTGACCGCTAACCAGGGCTTCGGCAACTGGCGTGTTCTCGGCCAAGCACTTATTCTACTTAGCACAAAAATGTATTTGTTGTACCAGTAGAATAAGAAGGACGCATGCTCACCTTTCTTAAGCTCTTCCCCTTCTAAGTCTGTGAAGTAGGTGATCAAGGTGTTATAGTTGAAGAGGTTTTTGTGTAATTTCTGCACATCTTCTTTTGATGGCCTTTGGCTTCCCTTCATCAAGGTTTCAATGGCACGATCCTCGAGCATTGTCTATAGGCTCAACTCAAATTCATACCCAAAGAAAGAAGTATCGACTGGAAGGCTAGTGGGAGAGGTGCCGAGTATAGCCGTGATGTCAAGCACAGTTGGGCCGAGATGGCCGAGAGGAAAGACCATCATGTTGGTGGCCAAGCACCAGAAGCTTAGGGCAGCCATCACGAGTTCTCGATCTAAGCTCATATCGATGGTTGAGAATTTGATGGCGTCAAAAATGCGAAGAAATCTCCACTCGTTGCCGAAGAATAGCTTCATCCGAGTGACCCAAGTAGCCCAAGTCACAGTGGTCGAGGGCCTAACACCTTGGGGTTTGGGTAATTCCCATTTTGGCCAATCATACCCTTAGAACAAAGGCTTCAGGCAATGTTCCTTAAGCATTTCGGTGGTGACTTCTGGAACATTATCCTTGAACAGTGGGCCGAGGGTTTGATGGGAAACGTTTGGCTAATCCTCAAATCAGATAGTTTTGATAGTGTTTCGATCGGTGATGTTCTGACACTTATTGCATTCCTCGACCAACTTGGTGATGAAAGTATTGGCGGCCATCGAAGAATAGAGGTGTTCTAGGTTTCGAACAGGTTTCTTTTCTGGATTTAGAGAGTAAATGGCAAAGATATTTGAGAGTTTTGAAAGCGTAAAAGTCTGAATGAAGAAAGTTAGGTATTTATAGGCATTAAGGAAGAAGATCAACATTTTTATTTTGAAAGAGCTAGGGGTAGATTCGATCGCGAAATTATGTAATCATGACGAATATTCAAAGGATCCAAATGAAGAGGCTGAAAAGTTCGTGAATCAAGGATGCACGTTTACATATAATGGCAAGTTTATGGTGAAACGACGTTTGAGTGGTCGCACGCCTCGGGTGTCATTATTAGGGGACAAACATGCCAAGAAGATGCCACGTGGTAAAAGGGTCTGATATGATTAAAATCGTGCAATCATGCTCCATAAATGCACCTCAGTGGTTGAGAAATTCAAGGTTTCTCGGTGTCCTTTAGTGATACGCTAAGGGATGATTTCGCTTATTCAATGTCAGAGCTTGGCCAAGATTTGCAGGCCGAAGACCTCAAAAGTGAAAAGGCAATGTTTGGGCCCAAAATAATATTTTTGGCCGAGCTTAGAGTTGTCTCGGCCTAGTAATCTCTTAGAAGTGTTGTGGGCCATCCAGCCACCGTAGGCCGTCCAATCAGATTGGCTGAGTTCTATCGAAATAAGGGTTAATTTGGATAAAGGCGAAGTGGTCGAATCCCAGTACAACAAGGGGTCTTGAGGCTGAAGCTGCTAAGAATTAGGAAATGAATCTGGTTCATTATAAAGCTTGGTTCAGAAACTTATTAAAACTAGGATTGGCCGAATCCTAATCAGATTGGATTTGGAAGTTCTAGTCCAAGTACATCTTTGGTTTGGCCAAGAGTAGGTTCGTTGCTATATATAGAGAAGGGAGTGCATCATTCAAGGCCCTTTCCATTTCTACACACAAAACTACCATGTGCAAACTCTCGCTTTACGTGAAACCTCTCAACAACCTTGAGATCTCTATTTTCTTTTTGTCTTGCCAATGCATCTTCAGTTTGGATAAACAACACAGTGAAGGCAACCGGCGACATCTTCAGTTTGGATAAACAGCACTAGAGTCGTAGAATCAGCCGATCAAGGAGCACCTTCAATTTGGATAAACAGCAATGCTTCCCGGCTGACTGATTACCTATCTAAGTCTCGGTATTTTCGAATCCTTGTTGGTAGAGGTCATCTCATTAGCCTACTCAGTGAAGTGAGGTGTTACCAGGTTACTACATTCGACATATTGAAAGCCGAATCTAATATTGAACTTCGTAGAACTAGCAGCCTTGTCTTCAGGCTCTAGAACTCAAAGGTCGATACGTTTTCCTTCCTCGGTCACAATCGTAAGATCGAGAAGTCAGCAGCACGCCCAATGCTACATTAACATATTTTACTCCCCGACCGAGCTCGGTCGACAAGTGGCACACCTGCACACAACCAAATGACATAGTTAGCTTATTAATTACTCAGCCTGCGCGCCACGTAAGCTTGGTAGTTTTTAGGATCAATAATACAATATAGAGTAAGTTATCAGTTATGCTATAAACCACGTAATAGTTACTTTTTACTTGATTAGAGGATGTTTTATTTTTGACTTACACGTGTACGGGCTGATCTATCAAAGGGACCAAATGATTTCAGAACCAATTGGCCACTAGAGGCCGAAAATTAATACTTAGGAAGGTTCTTTAGGAATTCTTCGAGTGTCTATTATGGCTTTGAGTATTGGATGAAATGTCTACTCGGCAAATTTTGGTAGGACGTGTCAAAAGCACTTAAGAGTACACGTCAAACAAATTCAATAGGGTTTGATCAACATTTATCGACATACTCGCTCAGAAGTTGTTGGCGTATGTAGACAGGCTCGTTCAAAAGTTGTCAGCATCTATGGCCAAATGTCCAAACTGGCTCATCAGATGACTACATGTAAACCCAAGTGCTTGAGAAAATGCCTCGCTTAAAAAGAAAATAAAATTTGAGCACTGTATGATATTTTCATTTAAAGAAAGCCTGACTCTTTTACATTGGGATCCTTTGGAATTAAAATTATGGATCTACTACTGCAGAAGTGTTCGAGGAAAAAATCTTATTGTTTTTTAGGAAAAAAAAATGTTATGTTAAACTATATATGTCACGCCTCAATCTGAGATATGCTTAGGATCAGTACGTGGCAACAAAAGTAGTGGCAACAAAAACATAGATTTGCCTTTTTATAGGCGAATTTTCGGTTGACGGGTATTTGTGAGAGTGAATTAAAATGTGAAGGGGTGTTTAGTGTTTCAAATATGAGGGAGTTTTGTGAAAACTCAAAAAAGTTCAAGGATGTTGGTGTAATTAATCCTGAGAAGAATAACATTGAAGAATTCACAAATTTTAAATGTATTAAGTGGCATGTAATAACACATAATTACATTGCCAATATTGTAATAAAGTTGGGTGTCTGCCTTGTGGATGTCCTATTACTGTGTCAAGGTAGGTTGTTAATGGTGCACGTAGGGGTTCAAGTTGGAATGATACACCCGATTCCAATAGTAAATTTTTTGAATCTGAAACCGAAAATTCTTAATCTAAATGTTTGTCAAAAAATTGGAATATAATTTGGAATGCATTTAGAGATTTTGAGAATTTCGAATATGAATTTTAAGTGTTCCGAAATATTACGATTGTTTATAGTTATTTACTTGAACTATATATTTTGTAATCAATTTTTTTTTTATTTTATTGTTAATTTTGATACATTTTGTTCATTGTTTTTATATTAAACACACACTTATATATTAAAAAGGATAAACATATAGTATTAGTATACCACAAAATTAATTGAAATCATACATAAACATATACCAAATATTAAGAAAGAACAATACATTATATGTACGATAAAGTTAGAGAACATTCAAAAAATTTAAAAAAATATATATCTCAAATTTCGGAGATTACTCCAATTATAAAATTTCTGAATATGCCAAAAAATTTCAATTTAAAAATTGTGATCCAATCCGATCTGATTTCGAAATTTTGAAACAAAAATTGGAAAACACCCGTACATGAACGAATTGCATTACAAAATCATCGTCCGTGCCATACTGTAGACAAGCCGTCAAAATTGGCAAACCCGTTGGTAGATCCGATGGTTGGCGGCAGGAAGACCAAATGACGAAACCACCCCTGAGAGACCGTTTCAGTGACCTCATTGTCCGAAAATCAGAACTTTCCCCAACGGCTACTCACAGAGAGCCAAATTTAAAACTTAACGACTCCTTCACTCTTCAAACTCTCCGTCTCTGACCAAATCTCGCTTCCGCTGCCGCTCACGCAACCACACACTCCTCCTCTATCCCTCTCTCGTTCGCTCTGCGGAAATGGAAGAAGAAACTAGGAGTGTGGGGATTGAAAGCGGCCACGAAGGCGGGGACGAGTTCTACGAGAAGATCGAGGCCCCTAAGTTCGTTGATTTTACCGATTCCGACCCGCACCGACCAGACGACCGGTACTGGTTCTGCATGCGAGTCGGTTCGTTTCAATCTAACCCAGTATCTCATCAGTTTTATTTCCTCCCTTTGTTTTCAGTAATCAGAAAAAGCTCTTTTGGTTTCAAATTTTGAAGATTTTTTAGCTTGAAGATGAAATTCGTTTTTGTGATTGACTAAGTGTGGATTTTAGCTTTTAGTCTGTTTTGATTTTAATTTCTACTCTGATTTGTTTGATTTGGAGCTCTCTGTTTGGTTGCTGAGAAAATTGAGGGGATAAAGCATTAAATTAGGTGACTTAAAGATCATTAATTTGAGTTTCATACTTTGATGGGTTGATCCAGTTGGCATTGGTATAAAACCCCCCATTTTTGTGGTAATATATTTTGAGTATGTTGGTGTTTGGTTTGTAGGATGTGATCAGAAGCATGAAGAAGAATTGGACTCTGAAGCAATTTACAGGAACTTCGTTCTTCGGGTGCGATTATAAGTTCCAGATTTTGTCTGAATTGGAATCACATTAGTTCACTTTACTGAAGTATTGGAGGTTTGCAGGTTATGGCAGCAAGAAGTCCTAATGTGAAACTTAGAAAAACATTGGCCAGAAAAGCACCAAGGTATATTGGCAAAAGAAAAGCTCTCAGTTGGTCAAATTACAATTCCTTTTCCTGCTTTTGTGATGGGTCTTATAACAATTCCATGCTCCTTTTGTTTGCTATGTTCTAGTTTGAAATGCCCACTTACAGATCCTGCAAAATCTTCCAAGCCTAGAGTATCAAGGTTGGCCCTGATTTCTTCCTTCTCTCATAAGATGGCTGATGCCGAAAATAGAGCCAGAAAACCTCTTCATAAGATCTGTGCAACACCAAATGTTAAAGCAAAGCAACCGACTGCTGTGTCCAAGGCTCTCACTACACCAAGAAATCGGAAGCCCGTCTCAAATTCAGAAACATTTCGAAGTGTTAGGAACCCCAAACTGAAGAACATTGTGGTCCCAAAGAATAGTCGGCCGGTAGCCAAAGCTCTGGTCTTTCACTCTCCGAAGAAGCCTGTGAGAACCAAGGCTTCAATGGAGCGGAGTAGTCCTGTGGGAAAAATTTGTTCAGCTATGAAGAAACTTGAGATCACAAGTGGGAAGAAACATGTTTTGGGGTATAACAAGCTGTTGCCTTTAGATACCTCAAGAAAACAGTTTAGAGGGCGAGAGGTCAAAAGCCGGGTTTTTGATTCTTTGCGTTCTAATAATTGCAAGGGCCAGGAAGCCAAAACCTTGAAGAGAAAGAACATGGAAAAAGACTTGAGACAACATTGTGATCCTGCGCCTGGTGAAGAGGTTGATGATAATGATTCCAGTGACATGGAAGTTGATAAAAAATCAAGGGAAGGCGCATTGAAAGGGTTCTCCATGTCAGCCACTTCTCAGAGTGGAAGACTGAATGGTGAGAAAGACTTGAGACAACATTGTGATCCTGCGCCTGGTGAAGAGGTTGATGATAATGATTCCAGTGACATGGAAGTTGATAAAAAATCAAGGGAAGGCGCATTGAAAGGGTTCTCCATGTCAGCCACTTCTCAGAGTGGAAGACTGAATGGTGAGAATGAAGTTGAAATCCTATCCGAGACCTTGAACGGTGATACTACCTCCTTGTCGGGTTCTGAAGAGAGGGATTCGAATGAGAATTACAATAAGGAAAATGCCAATAATGGAAACGGTTATGAAGAGAAAACAAAGTTAAGATCAGGGACGAGGAGCACCCTTGAACAAGTTGACGACGATGATGATAAAGAAAATAATACAGCCTCTGATGAGAACAGGTGCGTGTACTAGTACATCTTTACCATTCGTTTTTCTACGAATATTCTTTTTCTTAGAACACCATTCTAATGAAATTTTGACATTTGATGCAGAGGACTGAATATCAATGATCATTCCACAAGGATAAATCTCGGCAAGCATGATGCTTCAAAAAACTCACAAAAGGTTGCTTCTTATAACCCCCTGAAAATATACGAGAAAATCATATCTTCGTAGTGTGTATGTTTATTCATTTCTCCCTAATGGTTTTTTATGCCTGTTAACATTTGAACAATGATGCAGGTCAATCAAGCAGATAAGATTCCGAAAGAAAGCTCCACATCTGCTGCCAGCAATGCTCAAGGGGTGAAGTATAGGAAACCGAAGTCTACAAATCCCAAGCCTTTTAGGTTTAGAACCAATGTATGTGAAACCTGTTGTGACCAGTTTCTTTAATAAACAGGAATAACGTTGACGCTTTATCTGAAATGTTTTGGGTTCTTTTTAGGAAAGAGGGATGCTTAAGGAAGCAACTTCGGAGAAAAAAGTTCATGCACCGCTGAAGGAGATCACATTAGTCGGGACTCCAGTGGCAAAGTCCACAAGCAAACATCAGAATGTGATACAGGTAAGTCCGTAATTGAACTTTCGATTACCCCTTTTTATCATGTCATGAGTAAAGCTCAAGGCTAATGCATTTTTCGTTCCTGATCAGATAACTAAAAATTGCCTTGGACAAAGTGAACATGAAAATGATACCCAGGGATGCTGTGAAAAGAGATTAGACAGAAGAACACGACTGAAAGAAAATGTAAGTTAGTTGTCGTAGGGAAGATAGAAATAGCATACTCTTGAAGGTTCCGTGCGTAGAGGTCTGACCAAGCTCGCCTAATTTATGCAGGGAATGAAGGGAGCTACTTGTTTGAAGACCCCAAACGTAGACTTTGAACGAAAAGCATCTGTGGTTACTCCACTAAGACGTAAAGTTTCTACATACGAAAAGGCCAGCCCTGAGAGAGAGCACAAATCAAAGGAAAGGACTAAATCTCCAAAGGTGCAGCAAAGATCTGTGACACGGAGAGGGTGAGTGTTGATTTCTTTTGTCATTTATCATCTCAAATGACAAAGGATGTGTGTTCATCAAAACTTAATCGTACTAGCCTTCTCTTTTGCAGGGTAGATTCAAGTAGAAAGAAGGCAGTGGTTTCCTCCAGGACACCTTGTCAGCTTAGTGTAATAAAGGAAACTTCATCAAGAAAGATAAGACCCAAGAAAGCTGTAGCACCATGCAGTGCTTCTCCGGCAACCAAAGGTTCCGCTTCTTCCCCTTCCAGGTCATTGTCAAGGGGACGAAGGCCTACAACTGTTCCTAAAAAGCCATATTTTCACAACATCCATGTACCAAAGACCTGCGCAGGGCTGCACAAGGAAAACGACTCTTTGGATGAACCATAAAATTAAGCTTGTTTTGTTGTGTGATATCTTGTTTGTTCAATAATATCATTGAATTGTATTTGGTTGCGGGAATTGTTTATTTCCTTGGAAGCAAAAGAAAGCAAAAGGGTGTATTGAACATTAGAGGCTTGAATTGTATCTAGTCATTCAAAGGAAACATGCAATATTTAGGGAAACTCGACGGTACGAGGAACTTGTCTTTCTTCATTATTTGTTGGCACTAAATTTTCTTGAAATAGAAGAGAAATGATTGATATCCTTTGCAACGTCCAGTACTAATCAGTAGAATGTTTATATACTTCACGGCCCCCATCCAATTCCGCACCTCCGGGTTTCAGGGTATTGGAAAGCCGAATCCTCAAAGGGGAACATTACACAGTTTGATACAATAGTCCAAATACCCATGCAATTATGTGCATTCATCTGGAACCAAATGCGCCCGCCAAACGGGAAGGCCGCTGCTTGTTCTTTGGTATGCATTCTCGTCTTTCTCATCCTATTGTCCTTTCTTCATGTGCTTCAGCTTCTCATTTGCAGCCACAAGTTCTGCAGCTATTCCTGGTTCATTAGCAGAATGCCCAGCATCTTGAACAACCTGTTACGAGCGAAACGGTTCAGTAACTTCATCATGTATAGAAGAAAAATGGAACTAAGACTACAGCAATTCAGTCGAGTGCATAACAGTACTCATGATACCCTGTTACGAGCGAAACGGTTCAGTAACTTCATCATGTATAGAAGAAAAATGGAACTAGGACTACAGCAATTCAGTCGAGTGCATAACAGTACTCATGATACGGGACAATATGCAATACAGTTAATAAAATATTTCTTGAATAACCCTTTCTATGTAAAATACACTGGCTTTGTTGGTAAATGATGAGACCTATCCATGGATTTGGCTCGCAGCTACAGTATTTTTCCGCTCGCTTTGAAAAAAGTCAACATCTTTAGTATATTAACCTGAAACCATTTTACAGAAAAATGAATGGCCGACTTACTTTGAGATCAGCTTCCGGCCATGCTTTATGAAGATCCCAAGCTGACATCATGGGGCAGCACATATCATATCTTCCCTGTAAAGTCAATTGTTATAGTTCTTTCAACTCACAAGTGATACTACATTTACAATGAAGGGCATACATAAGCACATATGTTCAAAGTACTAACTGTACTGGATATGCAGATTCTATTGGAACACATTTATCGTACTAATGGGGAAAATTTGCATCAAATAACTATAAAGTAGAATATCAAAATTTCATACAATATCAAATCTCAGTTGCTAACTTGCTATTACTCTATAAACCCTAAGTATTATTTATTTTTCTTTCGAAACAAAACAAATTTTATTGCTGGAAACAATAAAATTACAGGGGGAGAGAACTAGATGGTCACAACAAGGAAAGTACAAACAAAAATTAAATAAAGAAATAATTCATCTCTCAAGGCATGATGTGCAAGCATCATACGCAAACTAAATGCATAAGAAAAGGGAAGCAAGCAATGGTACTATACTTTCCATTTAAACCGATGTCTTAGATATGCTACTTATAAAACTTTAACTGATTCCTAAACCAAAAATATGACAGGGGAACAACATATGATAAATCATTACATCCCCAAATATCAAAAGCCCAACCTGAAAAGATTGAATGTTTTCTGTTCCAATCAGAGCATGTCCTTGACAGTTCGAGAAATAATAAAATGCCTACCTGTACGATCATTGTTTTTATATGCCGTATCTTATCAATGTTATCTAACAGGAATCCATCTGAAGGGAAAAATCCTTTGTTCACGAAGTAATGATTTTCAATCCTTGCGAAGGCCTGGAGACAGGAAATCAAATATCAGTGTGCGTCAAAAGAGAATTTCAGTCATCGGTGAATAAATTATGCAAGATCTTCTATACTAATCAGTAAATCAACGTACCAATGAAAACTTATCATCCTCCCCTCTCTTGATGTTCTCATTATTTGGAAGAAGATGGGCAGTCATCATTTCCCACATGGTCCATGCTCTAGCAGCTGCATACTACGAAATGCCCAAAGCCAGCATGGTCCTTTCAATAAGATGACCTTAAAACATTATTTAAGAAAGACGGCATATGCCCAAAGCGAGGTAAGTCTTACTTGTATTTCTTGGTCATCGGAGTTCAATCTCTTTTTGTAGGCATCGAGAAAACATCCTCTTTCATTTTCTGGAATAAGATCTCGAAATGGCTCCCACGCTGGATATTTGAAAATATCAGAAGCAATCAGTCACTATAAAACTAATAAATATGCCAAATAGTAGACATGAAATTATCAAGCATATTTACTAGGGAAAATAAAAAAAGAATCCTTCTTTGTTGATGATTTCTATAACTAGGAATCATTTACGAGTTCTATCAACTTCTAACATCACTACATCAGAAATGCAAGCCTCCAACAACCCTTTGTTAATAATGGAAATTCCACATTGCACTTCTTATATGTTTAATGCAATTGTAAGAATAGTGCAGTAATCGTTCAGTGCTAAAAGGTTCTGAGAAACGATGAACATGTACTTGAAAATTATAAGAATTTAGGGGAGCAATCCATAAGGTAGATTATATGGTTCATGCCAACACAAATGAATTGTAGCATACCATCTGGGTATATGGCAGCAGCACCACCCTCATAAAACCAATCAATCTCCTTCTTTCTTAAAAGAAAAATCCCTCTAAGAACAATTCCGGTAACCTATACAAGCATGACAGAATAGTCAAAAGTTGTATCATATAGTAGAGAATTAAAAAGTGCAGATGACCTGTATCAAGAGAATCGGAATCCCAACAAAAGAAATGTAAATCAACAAAACTATGCACCTTGTCAGGGTGCGATTGGCTATATACAAGGGCAAGTGTGCTCCCCCATGACCCACCAAAAACCTGGATGAAATAACCAAAATCCTATGAATTTAGAATCGGAAATATGAAAGAAGCATGCTTTTTCTTTATCGAAAGCTATAAACAACCTACTGACCTGCCATTCTGGAATTTCTAAGTGTTCCCTGAGCTTTTCAATGTCACTAATGAGATCCCATGTCGTGTTTTCAACCAAGCAAGCATGTGGGGTACTTTGCCCCGCACCCCTCTAGTAATAACGAAATAATTTCAGATATCAAATGTAGGACGAACTAAAATGCATCTAATAACTAATCATAAAGGTTGAATTAGCAACCTGATCAAATAGAATGATCCGGTAAAACTCAGGATCGAAGAATCTTCGATTACTTGGTGAAGTTCCTCCTCCTGGACCTCCATGAAGAAAAACTACAGGCTGCAGGATAATTCACAAGATTTTAAACCAAAGACCAGTAACCCAACCCAACACGGTTAATATGGTATTTTCGACACAAAGCCGCCTTCTCCAGCAGAGTTCATTTCCAAATCCTAATACTTTCCGAGGATTCAAAAATCCCCGTTTTCTAAAAATACAGAATTTGAAATCTCAGATAACTGAAGAATCAGACTCTAGTGAACAAAACTGAAAAACTTCAAATTTGTATCCGAAAAAAACTACAAATTCGAACAACAATCTCAAATCTACGTCGTTTATTTGGACGAAGAATCGCAACTCACATGGCCGTCGGGATTTCCAGACTGCTCCCAATAGATTGTGTGAATATCGGAAACCTTAAGAAACCCGGAACTGTAGGGCTCGATATTCGGATACAGGTTCCGGTTAAACTCGGGAAGTTCCTTATCTGATTCCATCGAATCGCTCGTTAGTTCCGGCTCGCTCTCGAAGCCCGCACTCTGCCGGCGCAAAACTGAATTCCGGGAATTCCTCTTCCCTGCATTCACAAACACGCCGTCAGTTTCCTGCCAAATTTGGAGTTTGAGAGAGAGAGAGAGAGAGAGAGAGAGAAAGAGAGACCAGTGAGGTTGTTGGAGGAGAAGGAGAGAGAGGAAAGTGAGAAGGTAGAGATGGTGGTGGGAGTGAGGGGGAGGGAGGGCAAAAAATAGGAATCGGGACTCAACGCTTTTCCCAAGGAGGTGCCCAATCCGATCATTTTCTTTTCAAGTTTTTAGGGGGGCGTTTGGGTATTCGGAATTCGGATTCCAAGTTAGTGGAAGGGAATCAGAATAAAAACAAAATTAGTGGAGGTGAATTAGAATAAAAACAAAATTAGGAGAAGGGAATCCAAATTAAAAAAATAAAAAAATAAAAAAAGAAAAAAAGAGCATTGTTATTCACCTAATAAGTGATATTCTTCTTAGTTTTAGCCACTTACTACTACATCTGTTGATATTTATCTTCATTTGTAAGTGAGGTTTTAGGTTCAATTCTCACCAAAGACGAATTCGAACCACATTATTGCTAGTCTATTATGATGCTAAGCTCATCCCCTCCCCTTAGTATAGATAAAATTGTTTGTTCAGAAGGAAAAAAAAAAAAAGTGGTTTCATGCCTCTTTATGTGTTATGTTTTCTTTGACATATTGTTATTGCGTTGCACTAACAATATGGGTTAGGCAAAAGTCAATTCGGTTCAATTTCACTTTAAAACAATCAACGATTGATGCACACACACAATTTAGTTCAATTTGAACAAAACGATTTTATAACAAAACGTGTTATGACCTGTCCTTAAATTTAGAATATTTTAATCTCTGAAAGTGTGAAATTACCAAAATATCTCTAGAGAGAAAGTATTGACTTTTATTGACTATTTTGTCGTGACACTTATGAATTTTTAGCATAATACATTCTCGTATTGTTCCTCAATATGAACGCGTGGGTAAAAGCGGAAAGAACATATCAATGGGAGTGTTAAAAACACATGTCACAAGGATAGGAATACACGAGTCCTTGGAGTTCGCTGACAATGATAGAGTTTCTGTAAAGGGGCCACGGACCTTATAAGAAGGGAGCGAGACCAAGCCAAGCCACTAGGAGAGGAAAAGATGGAAAATAAGAGGTCATGGGAACTGGTGAAGAAAGCTCCAAGTCGAGGACACAACCCATGGATGACACTAGGACAGTTAGATACAATCTAGTGTTCTTCTGTGTAGTGTACGGTGTCTTGTGCCAAGTGAGAGTTGATTCCATAACATCTGCTAATCTCCGAGCTGCCTTTCCTTCGGCATAACAAGAGTGAATCCTCCCACCTCCCTCTAATGCGTATCTCTTTGCACTACTTAATCTCAA